CAACTGTCAAGATTTATCTTTGCTACATACACACCCAGCAGTATTAAAAGTTTTTTTGGAGTATAACACACCAATCCCGTCGAGCGCACCAGTTGAAAGGCTTTTTTCCACAGGGTCAAATGTTATGACGGTAAAAAGAAACAAGTTGAGTGATTCATTGTTTGAAAAATTAGTTCTTCTCAAACAAAACAAAATGTCAGTGTAAAAATATTTTTTCAAATAAATTGAATTAAAAAAAAAAAAAACAGATTGTTGTATTATACTATGTCCTATACTCCTATGGGCTATAAGACTATAACCTATAGCATGTCTCTATGTGTGGTGTATCGTGTATAGTACACACTATACACTGTATACTATACTACTATAGTAATATACATGTATAATATTATGCAATGATGCAATATGAATGTATATATATATATACAAGCAGCATTCTCTATCCACAGAGGGAGTACCCGATCGAACACTTACAGTATTCTCTATCCACACAAGAGAGTTGTATCAACCTCCAGGATGCTATAGCAATGGAAATATTGTATATATATAAATATAATTTATTAGATAAACATTCACCTCATAGATAAGAGTATTTCGGCCATTTTGTTGGCTTCATAATTATTACATTGTAGGAATAGGGAGTCGCCTATCTAGTATTTTTATATATCTGTGTGCAAAACACTATTTCTACATCATCGCGGGCGTGGCGCGGGCGTAGTGCAATTTTCAGCAAACTGTAGCGCTGTTTGTTTTGATTGACCTGTTAACACTGGTTCTGATTTGAAATTTTCAACTGTTTAATCAAGTGTTTTTCTTGAGTTTTGCCGATTTTCGTTATTTTTATTGTTTAACTTTCAAGTTAACTCATTTTTACCTTGCAAAACCTTTAATTTTGGCTTAGTTGAAAAGCGAAAAATGAAGAAGAACATGAATAAAAATAATTATATTATACAATAATATATTGTATGATATACGATTTACTAAAGAGAATGTTTCAAGGATTTTGCAATTAAATGATCCCGTGGAAGAATTAGTTATTCAGATGAAAAATATATACACACGACCTAGTGCATTATGTCAGGCCTGTGATATTTCAAGGTATCTTGGAAAGAAAATGCCGTTACCCAAAGATACAAAAATAAGCAGTGTTGAAGATTATTTATCCCGCATCGATGTCCAAGAATTGAAAAAAAAACTTAAGTTCACTGGTCTTTGTTTAATAGCAAATTTGAAAATTAAAGCAGTCAAACAATTGGCAATGGGATGGTTATCTTCTTCTGCCGAAACTGAGGTAATACGATTTTATTTTTACATATTATTTTATACTAAATAAACAAATTTTTTTTAGTCTGAAGTAAACAGACCGATGACGAGGGCATTCGTAGCACGTGAAACCGCAAAAGCAGCCCGCAGATTAAGTTTTCGCTAATAATGTAATATTTTATTGTAATATGACATTTTTTTTTTATGTAATTTTCATATTTTTGTCAATTATTTAAAAACGCGAACCACTTATGTAATAAATTTAATGTATCATTTTCAGTGTTTGAAATATATTTATTTCTCAGTTTTTAAAATAAAATTATTTTTCGGTGTATAAAATAAATATGGCCGGACCAATCGAAAATATGGCTAACATTTGGAATAAGAAACCTTTTAAATATTGACTTATAAAGAATGAAGGATAACAAAAACTATATTTTATGCTCATTATGTGTTTATTTTAAGTTTAACTTAAACTATTTAAAACATATAATTTCATGAATTAATAAAATCACGTATGATATTATGTTTTTAAAAAAGAGAAAGTATTTGTAAAATTAATTGCGGTTCACAATTGATGAACTCTGTTTGAATTGTATCAATATAATTTTGAAATATATCATTTTTTAGCAGTTGCATGTAGTAACATATTAATACCAACATACCAATTGACTTAATAAAAGATTATTTGATAGGTATATTATATCAAAAAACATACTATAAACAAAATTAATTATATATACAATTGATAAACTACTTGTTAAATATTCTTTACTACACATTTGATTATAAGACTATTAACATTTGATAGCTTATACAACGTGTATCCTCCTTATTAAATATTTTGTAGACATATAAAATGTATGTGTATTGTGTTCATTCAATTTGGCAATTATGAGCTTTGAGATGGTTAGATCGCGCCAGGGGCTCATACATATGCATTTATTGAATAATATAATATATAATTATTTAGAACTTGGCCATGATTGTTCAATGGCAAACTCACAGTTATCGTACACAATATTACACTTCACGTGTATTTCATTATTTTTTTCTCATTAAAAACAACATGTATACCATTGTAAATGCAAAGGCGGTAGAAAAGAACAAGTAGCTATTAAAAGTATATACAACTAATGATTCATGTATTGATATAATCAAATAAATATTAAAAAACGTTGAATTACAAACAAATATTTTAAATGTAATTAATGTAAAAATCTTTAATTCATAATTCAGACACAAAAGATATCATACGTTATTTTTTCCAATAATTAAATATGTTATTCATAATTATGATTCAGTAAAATGTGAACTTTTAAAATACCAAAGTAAACAAGCATAAAATTATTATAATATTATAACTTAACGTAATAGTTTCCTCCATTCTTAAATAAAATAAAGAAACAAATTTGTAATAAAGAAATTAAATGACAATGCTGATCTTATAAATCTTAATCAATACAATATTTCTATTAGGCATTTTATAATAATATGAAATTTTATATAACATTTTAATTTTTAATCTATCGACTGCATTTTAAGTTAATAGGTAAGTACTATATTATATTTTGTATGTTTTATTTTTGAAATTATTGATTTCATAATAAAATATTTTACTTTGTTTGACAATGTGATCACAATGAACGATAATATGTCACTATGACATTGTATTTTAGTTATTTTATGTATAATGCACCTAGATCAGTATGTCGAGAAAACGAGCACATGCAAAGGTCAATTTGGTTAAAAATTCTAGTCAACCTGCACAATATATACTTGAAGATGATTACCCTTTGAAAAGTGATGAGTTTATGAATCGATGTCCCAGTTAATGTATGAGTATGTAATATAGATAATAAAATAATAAACATACATGATTACCATAATAACAAAAAGAATTAAATTTATTACGTGGCGAAGATTCGCCAACGGCGGCTCCGTAACAAACAATTGGGGCATGCGCACTGAATGTTGTAGGTGGTGTGGTATTTCCCTCCTCCTACATCGCCACGACAATCACAGATAGACGAATGGCTTCGATCTTTATCACCTATCTCTTCAAGTATGCTAAACATAGTGCGGCCCCAGGTACTGCCGGATTTTGACATACTAATATTCGGGAGGTTATTAAATACCACTCAACCCAGCCAGAGAGTAACTGATTGTTCTGAGGATGGTTATAATGACATCCTGGCACTTCACATGTTAGCACTTGAAGAAGAATGGTATGAGGACGGAGCTAACGAGGTATTGAATCGCCATATGGAAGCGTACGAAAGCCGTGAAGGTAAATTACGCAAAAATTAATTAAGCAATTTCACACTAAACTTTGAAAGCCGTAAGTTTATTCAAATTGGTATTGACCCGACATATAGTTTCAAAGTCGTTATACTTGTAATGACTCCATCGCGTTATATTCAAATTACACCGGACTTGTCAAAGCAGATATTTGATTTCATGGGTCATATGATATCTTTCATATTGGACCAATTGTGACAGTGATCGCCGTGATTCTGGCAGTGATAAGGGAAATTGTGACTCTTTTGTCGGTGAAAGTGGTGGCGGTCATCACGGCGGCAATCGTAGGTTTCGGCATCCCGTTGTGGATGCTATATCCATATATTATTATGACGCGAAACACCAGAGAAGATGTTGCGGATAGTCATCTCCACGCTTATTTTGAATATTTATTAGATGACGGCGGAGCGGAACACCAGAGAAGATGTTGCGGATAGTCATCTCTACACTTATTTTAAATATTTATTAGATGGCGGCGGAGAGGATGGCGGAAATGACGGCGAAGAGGGAGATGCAGTGGCGGGTACTATAGCTATTCATGACTATTGACTATATTATTATCTATGTTATTATGCACCTACTAGGCTTAGGCTTTTTCGAGCTATTATTGTTGTAATTTTACAGTCGAAAATTGACTGACGTTTATGTTTATTATCTGCTCTCTAAATATATTAAATTACCTCAGGTTTTGTAATTTTTGTATACATTTTAGTATAATGTTTACGTTTTTCGATTTATAAATTATTTTACTATGTATATAGGATAAAAAGGAATTTGTCTTGGTTTTACCTTAAAACAAAAGAGAAGTTTAACATCGTGAAAAGCGAATAACTTCATTTTGACGAGAAATACATGATGATTATATAAAATATATTGCACAGCTCATTTTTTTTTTTGTTATACATTTATAGAATAGAAGAGAAAACAAAAACAAGTCTAATGTTACCTTATATTAAGAACGAAGGAAAACAACAACTATATTGTATATTAATTTATGTGCTTATTTCGTGTTTAATTTAAACTTTTTTAAAAAATATGATTTCACGGAACAATTAATAAAATCACATATGATAGGCATGTTTTAAAAAAAGAAACAATAAATGTATATGGGTACGAGTATCCCATATGGTTGTATATGCATAACCAGGTACCCACATAAACCCTTTAGCTTCTGACCCATTTGCCTAGTAGACACTCCGGGTAAGTTGAGGTGGCCTGTGGCCAGCAAGAGATGATGGACTTGAAAATATATTCGATCATGAGGGTCAGACAGGGAGTTGCTCGTTATAGAGGAAAGGACATCGAAGACCGTGACGTGTGAGGTTCCCTAGGGCTCACTAATTGCAACGACCCTGTGGGGAAGTTGCATAAGATTATCTACTGGAAATGGAAGTTCCTAAGGGCGTCCAGCCGGGTGAAAATAAAAAACATACAAAATGCATTTAGGAAACAATACAAAAGAAAGGAGTATCTCCACTGCCCGCAGAGTCATCCAAAATGTAAAATCAGAGAATAGTGAAAGTGAGTATGCCCCAGAAGACTTTTTCTGTTTACCAGTTGCTAAAAAGAAATCAAAAAAATCCTCATGCATGGAAGAAATTGAATTGTATTTGAAGTCCAACTGTCAAGATTTATCTTTGCTACATACACACCCAGCAGTATTAAAAGTTTTTTTGGAGTATAACACACCAATCCCGTCGAGCGCACCAGTTGAAAGGCTTTTTTCCACAGGGTCAAATGTTATGACGGTAAAAAGAAACAAGTTGAGTGATTCATTGTTTGAAAAATTAGTTCTTCTCAAACAAAACAAAATGTCAGTGTATAAATATTTTTTCAAATAAATTGAATTAAAAAAAAAAAAAACAGATTGTTGTATTATACTATGTCCTATACTCCTATGGGCTATAAGACTATAACCTATAGCATGTCTCTATGTGTGGTGTATCGTGTATAGTACACACTATACACTGTATACTATACTACTAGAGATGTGAGTGGTGTAAATTTACCAGGTAAATTTTTACCGGTAAAAAAATTTACCGTAAATTTTACCAATTTTTTTTTTACCGGTAAATTATTTTTTACCAAAAAAAAATGTTGTGTGACCCCTCTAATCAAATGAAATCGAAAACGCCTAGTCTGCATTGTAAAGAGATATATTTTTTATCAAATGATAACAATACAATAATGAATAAAGTACTAATCACGGTTTAAGATAAATCTTAAACCGTGGTACTAATCATATTTTCTATTTGTTCGGTATACGGTCAGTCGTCAATCGTTATATTGTTATCAGCTGTCGACCTGTGTTGTTATGACTATTTGATATTTCTATTTTCAGATACATTTTCGAGTTTCTAGTCTCTAGACTCTAGTCTATAGCGTATCAACAAAAATATTTTTACCAATTTCCACTTTCCAGTTGGCAAAATTACCTTAAAATTTTTTGGGTTGGACCAAAGTAGGTAAACCGAAAAAGGAACTTCTGTGATATTATCATTTGTAATATTAATAGACTTGTTATAGTTTATATAGTTTGTTATAGACTATAAAATCAATATTCTGCCACCTCTACTATATATTAGAACATTAAATATCAGTAGGTAATTAGGAAAGATTTTATAGGGAGATACCAAGAATGCAGATAATGTGATATTGATAATATACTATTATTAATACAAAAGTTAAGTCTAAATATAAATGTTTTGACTTAAAAAGAAATAAAGGTTATGTGAATTTTGATAGTTTAGTTTAATTTAATTTAAATTATTTATTAATTGTAATATGAATAATTCAATATTCATATTTCATAAAATGTACTAATTACTAATGTCTAATACAGAACAATAGATATTTTAGGTTCATTTTTTAAATTTTTTGTTAATTATTGTTATTACCTATTAGAAAGAACTAGATTTAACAAGTAGGTATACAACATTAGCACCTAGTACAAATCGTATTAACTAATGTATAATATAAAAAATAACAATTGCTCTAAGATTTAGCTATTTTACCATTTTTACCACATTATTGGTAAATTTACCGTAAAATTTACCGGTAAATTTACCGATATTTTTTTTTACGTAAATTCTCCATCTCTATATACTACTATAGTAATATACATGTATAATATTATGCAATGATGCAATATGAATGTATATATATATATACAAGCAGCATTCTCTATCCACAGAGGGAGTACCCGATCGAACACTTACAGTATTCTCTATCCACACAAGAGAGTTGTATCAACCTCCAGGATGCTATAGCAATGGAAATATTGTATATATATAAATATAATTTATTAGATAAACATTCACCTCATAGATAAGAGTATTTCGGCCATTTTGTTGGCTTCATAATTATTACATTGTAGGAATAGGGAGTCGTCTATCTAGTATTTTTATATATCTGTGTGCAAAACACTATTTCTACATCATCGCGGGCGTGGCGCGGGCGTAGCGCAATTTTCAGCAAACTGTAGCGCTGTTTGTTTTGATTGACCTGTTAACACTGGTTCTGATTTGAAATTTTCAACTGTTTAATCAAGTGTTTTTCTTGAGTTTTGCCGATTTTCGTTATTTTTATTGTTTAACTTTCAAGTTAACTCATTTTTACCTTGCAAAACCTTTAATTTTGGCTTAGTTGAAAAGCGAAAAATGAAGAAGAACATGAATAAAAATAATTATATTATACAATAATATATTGTATGATATACGATTTACTAAAGAGAATGTTTCAAGGATTTTGCAATTAAATGATCCCGTGGAAGAATTAGTTATTCAGATGAAAAATATATACACAAGACCTAGTGCATTATGTCAGGCCTGTGATATTTCAAGGTATCTTGGAAAGAAAATGCCGTTACCCAAAGATACAAAAATAAGCAGTGTTGAAGATTATTTATCCCGCATCGATGTCCAAGAATTGAAAAAAAAACTTAAGTTCACTGGTCTTTGTTTAATAGCAAATTTGAAAATTAAAGCAGTCAAACAATTGGCAATGGGATGGTTATCTTCTTCTGCCGAAACTGAGGTAATACGATTTTATTTTTACATATTATTTTATACTAAATAAACAAATTTTTTTTAGTCTGAAGTAAACAGACCGATGACGAGGGCATTCGTAGCACGTGAAACCGCAAAAGCAGCCCGCAGATTAAGTTTTCGCTAATAATGTAATATTTTATTGTAATATGACATTTTTTTTTTATGTAATTTTCATATTTTTGTCAATTATTTAAAAACGCGAACCACTTATGTAATAAATTTAATGTATCATTTTCAGTGTTTGAAATATATTTATTTCTCAGTTTTTAAAATAAAATTATTTTTCGGTGTATAAAATAAATATGGCCGGACCAATCGAAAATATGGCTAACATTTGGAATAAGAAACCTTTTAAATATTGACTTATAAAGAATGAAGGATAACAAAAACTATATTTTATGCTCATTATGTGTTTATTTTAAGTTTAACTTAAACTATTTAAAACATATAATTTCATGAATTAATAAAATCACGTATGATATTATGTTTTTAAAAAAGAGAAAGTATTTGTAAAATTAATTGCGGTTCACAATTGATGAACTCTGTTTGAATTGTATCAATATAATTTTGAAATATATCATTTTTTAGCAGTTGCATGTAGTAACATATTAATACCAACATACCAATTGACTTAATAAAAGATTATTTGATAGGTATATTATATCAAAAAACATACTATAAACAAAATTAATTATATATACAATTGATAAACTACTTGTTAAATATTCTTTACTACACATTTGATTATAAGACTATTAACATTTGATAGCTTATACAACGTGTATCCTCCTTATTAAATATTTTGTAGACATATAAAATGTATGTGTATTGTGTTCATTCAATTTGGCAATTATGAGCTTTGAGATGGTTAGATCGCGCCAGGGGCTCATACATATGCATTTATTGAATAATATAATATATAATTATTTAGAACTTGGCCATGATTGTTCAATGGCAAACTCACAGTTATCGTACACAATATTACACTTCACGTGTATTTCATTATTTTTTTCTCATTAAAAACAACATGTATACCATTGTAAATGCAAAGGCGGTAGAAAAGAACAAGTAGCTATTAAAAGTATATACAACTAATGATTCATGTATTGATATAATCAAATAAATATTAAAAAACGTTGAATTACAAACAAATATTTTAAATGTAATTAATGTAAAAATCTTTAATTCATAATTCAGACACAAAAGATATCATACGTTATTTTTTCCAATAATTAAATATGTTATTCATAATTATGATTCAGTAAAATGTGAACTTTTAAAATACCAAAGTAAACAAGCATAAAATTATTATAATATTATAACTTAACGTAATAGTTTCCTCCATTCTTAAATAAAATAAAGAAACAAATTTGTAATAAAGAAATTAAATGACAATGCTGATCTTATAAATCTTAATCAATACAATATTTCTATTAGGCATTTTATAATAATATGAAATTTTATATAACATTTTAATTTTTAATCTATCGACTGCATTTTAAGTTAATAGGTAAGTACTATATTATATTTTGTATGTTTTATTTTTGAAATTATTGATTTCATAATAAAATATTTTACTTTGTTTGACAATGTGATCACAATGAACGATAATATGTCACTATGACATTGTATTTTAGTTATTTTATGTATAATGCACCTAGATCAGTATGTCGAGAAAACGAGCACATGCAAAGGTCAATTTGGTTAAAAATTCTAGTCAACCTGCACAATATATACTTGAAGATGATTACCCTTTGAAAAGTGATGAGTTTATGAATCGATGTCCCAGTTAATGTATGAGTATGTAATATAGATAATAAAATAATAAACATACATGATTACCATAATAACAAAAAGAATTAAATTTATTACGTGGCGAAGATTCGCCAACGGCGGCTCCGTAACAAACAATTGGGGCATGCGCACTGAATGTTGTAGGTGGTGTGGTATTTCCCTCCTCCTACATCGCCACGACAATCACAGATAGACGAATGGCTTCGATCTTTATCACCTATCTCTTCAAGTATGCTAAACATAGTGCGGCCCCAGGTACTGCCGGATTTTGACATACTAATATTCGGGAGGTTATTAAATACCACTCAACCCAGCCAGAGAGTAACTGATTGTTCTGAGGATGGTTATAATGACATCCTGGCACTTCACATGTTAGCACTTGAAGAAGAATGGTATGAGGACGGAGCTAACGAGGTATTGAATCGCCATATGGAAGCGTACGAAAGCCGTGAAGGTAAATTACGCAAAAATTAATTAAGCAATTTCACACTAAACTTTGAAAGCCGTAAGTTTATTCAAATTGGTATTGACCCGACATATAGTTTCAAAGTCGTTATACTTGTAATGACTCCATCGCGTTATATTCAAATTACACCGGACTTGTCAAAGCAGATATTTGATTTCATGGGTCATATGATATCTTTCATATTGGACCAATTGTGACAGTGATCGCCGTGATTCTGGCAGTGATAAGGGAAATTGTGACTCTTTTGTCGGTGAAAGTGGTGGCGGTCATCACGGCGGCAATCGTAGGTTTCGGCATCCCGTTGTGGATGCTATATCCATATATTATTATGACGCGAAACACCAGAGAAGATGTTGCGGATAGTCATCTCCACGCTTATTTTGAATATTTATTAGATGACGGCGGAGAGGAACACCAGAGAAGATGTTGCGGATAGTCATCTCTACACTTATTTTAAATATTTATTAGATGACGGCGGAGAGGATGGCGGAAATGACGGCGAAGAGGGAGATGCAGTGGCGGGTACTATAGC